TCTTGAACTGAGTAGAGTGACTTGTTTCTTGTACGAAAAAGCTAATTTTTGCTCTTCGAGATAAATGTAAAGTTTGTTGCCCATCTTTAGGTGTTATTCATTCCCAATTGGTTGTAAATTAATTTTCTTCATATTTTTTTTGTTACGTCATTATATTTTTCCAACTGTTTGATAGATTGCTTGATTTTGTATTTCATGTTAATTTGGAGAGTAATGTTATTTATCATTACTGATGATAAATTCATTGAAATGTAAAGTCATATGAGTAATTTAATCGAACTTGAATCGATGCCAAATTTACAATGTACATAATAGAAAAGTTGGCGACGAAAGAAATAAGTGGAATGTCAGTCTTGTTAGCTCATATTTACAAAGTTCAGAACATGATGTTAAGGTTTGATATTTTATATTAAAAAATCAACTTTATTAAGAGCAGCAGTTCAAATTTATATATGTTGGTTAATGTTTTTATATATAAGCAAGGTAGAATTTATGCAAGCATGACATGAAAAAGGATCAAGGAGGACGAACACCCCTTTAATTTTGTATTTAAGCTAATCTAACCATAATTCTTATCAACCATACCTCTTTTTAGGTACTCTTTAGGCATGACTTTTGAGATTATTTTCAAGTGACACATCATTGCTATACGAAGAATTGAAAAATCAGTAAATTTTCAACCTAATTCTCGATTTCCATCCAACTAGAACTGTTGAAAAAATCACTACACGCAACGGATTAATTATTCTTTTTGTTATATCATTTCCTAAAAAAATTTCAAGCCTAAAACATTTGTCACTTTTGATGGAAAAAGGAAATCTTAGATATGAATTATAACGTGTCAACTAATTTTATTAGCCCAACAATTTAACTTCGTGTAAAGACTTGGCATTCCATTTTTAAAAAGTCAATCTTATTAAGTGGAGTAATCCAAACCCATATAAATTGATCTATGTTTTATCTTTATTAGAGATGTCAGATTTTATTCCATAACATGCTCCAACAAAATGGTGGCTCGTTTGAACAAATCAATCTTGAAATACGTATGCTCATTTTTTTGAGTCTTAATCGAATTAAATTGTTCATTGGAGTTTAATGGACTCTGATACAACGTAAATACTTGAGATTTCATCTTGAAATATCAACTTTGTCAAGAAAAGCAGTACAAACCCTTATAAATTGGTCTATATTTTCATCTTTATTAGATGTTGAATTTTATCCATTAACCCTTCAAGAAATTTGGTGAAGGCTTAGATTAGTTGGCAGTTCATCAACCATATATTAAATGATTGAAATCCAATATTTATATATTCTAAAAATAGTTCTTCTCCAACTTGTCTTGAAATGGATTGTCGAAGAACGGGAAAGAATAAGATGCCATCTTTATTTCACACAAGTGACATACATAAAGCTTATTTCGTAATAAGTCATTAATGGCTGTTTTTTTTCTCTTTTTTTTTTTTTGTGGCGTTGAATTTCAGCGTAATTAACTTAAAATTATGAGCATGTTTGGTACAGATTCTCATTTTCTACAGTAAATCAATTCTCATTTTCAACCGCACATTCTTCAATAAAATAATATTTTTATCACATCAATACTTTTTTC